TTTTTGTTTCTACTTGTTGCAGGTTATCTGATGAACAAAAATGGAATATATGTTCCTTTGAGATTACCTGGGTAATTTTTACTGCACTTGATGTTCTAGTGTGTCTCTCACAGATACATCTTTTCCTTAGAGGATAAAATTGTAGCAGTTAGGGGAGACTGACTAAATGACAATAAAATGTAAAAACCAGTCAGTTCTCCTGCTAGTGGAAAAGACACTTTCTTTATTTTTCCTCTCCTGTTGTATTAATTCCCCCCTTCCCCCTTGAGGACTGTGCCACCCAAATAAGTATGCATCAAATATTCATAAAGTCTTTCAAAATGTCTTCTTTTAATAGTTACACTTCTTTTTTTTTTTTCCCAGATTGGCTTTCTAGGACAAGTTACTGAGAAACACTTGCTTTCTATATGCCTACCAAAAAGTTGGTGTATTTTTAAATGTTTTCTTTGTCAGCAATGGAAAAAGCACAGGATCCTTTTCTTGCAAGAACATAAACCAGTATTTACCAGGAAAGGTGCTTTGTCTCTTGGAAAGTGCCATGCCAAATTTCATTGTGCAAGAGCTCTCAGTAAGAATCTTTTTTTCTGGCTTCATTACGTTTATAAGTATCTGGGCCAAATTTATTTGTAGCATAATTCTACTGAATTAAATTTTTTTTGAGACTTTCATAGTGGTTTTCTACCTCTAAACTAGAATTTGAGAAGAAAAGAAGAATTTGGTATTGGTTTGTCTTTCTATTTCTTGCTGTCTTCTGTGAACAATGGTGGGTGGTTAAACTGGTACAGTTCATATATTTTCTATAAGTGTTTACATTTTGGATTTATGGTTTAAGTATTTTGTTTGTATTGCTGAGTTTTGAATTTTAAATAAATGATTTGTACATTTATTGAAAATGTTATGGTGTATCTTATATTGAATCTTATGGCTATAGTCATAATCTAAAATTGGAGAGCTCTTCTGGACATGGGAAGCTCAGGAATAGAAATCAAGTGATGACAAGACAAGCATTGGCATTCTTTACTTGGCACAGCTGAGACAGCTGATGGCCACTGTTCCAGTGCCTGGGACAGTAAGAGTGTAGTAGGGTACATGAAATGAGTTCACCAACAACTCTGAAATTGGTCTTTGTGATTTGCAGCCCTTTGTTTCTATGCCTTGGCCCTCTTTTGTGTTCTTAATTGCCTGCTGTGTTTAAATTAAAAGATGTGGCTGTATTCTGTACAGAGTTTTCTAGAAAGAGAATTAAGATTGCAGGGCTTATCAAGAGAAACACAATTGCAATGTGTGGTGTTGCCTCTCTTGGTTTAGTCAGATACCTGCTCTCTTCTTAAATAAACGAAGGCTAATTAAACATCTTTTAGGCTTTAACAAAAAGAAACAGTTGAGTTCAGACATACATGGAAGTCATGTTTTACTGCAACACAGGTCTCTGAAAGGTAAAAAGAATACAACAATAACAAAACTGAAACAACAAAGTTAACTTTGTTTTCACTCGATTTGTAACACATGGAGGTTAGTGGACATTTTAAATCTTTACTATGTGTTTCTACTTCATTACACCAAAGAAAAGATTTTTATTTCAAGTGGGACTCTTCTTGCACTTCTGTGAAGGTGTTTGCTCTTAGGCTGGTGAGGCACTGGAACAGGTTGCCAAGAGAAATGGATACCAGCCCTGGAAGTGTTCAAGGCCAGGCTGGATGGGGCATTGAGCAGTCTGGCTTCCTGCCATGGGCTGGAATGCCCCTGCCCGTGGTAAGGGAGTTGGAACTAGGTGATCTTTAAGGTCCCTTCCTCCTCATTCTAGGGCTCTATTTAAAAATCAAGAATAGGCACAGCTAAAATAACTCCAGGTCTGAAAAGAGAAGAGCAGTGCCCTTTTATTTTAAAAGCCTTAAAGCTGTACTAGTAAGTTTAAATGCTCTGTGTTGTAGGGATAGTAACCATAGTATTTCAGGGACTCAGGTTGAAGTTCACTCTTGTCCCTGTTTTTTATTCATATTTGTAATAAGATCAGACCTTAAAATCTTTGGCTAGATTTGGAAAATGAAGGTATGGCTAGGGTGGGCCCATTTTGTTCAAATGGAAGTAGTTACTTTTAATTTTATGGACTGAAATGCTTACTTATGCTAGGATTTATTTGGCACCCCAGCCCACTTGTTTGTGGGGTGGTGTGAGAAGCAGGAAAGTTCCTACAGCCCCTTCAACCTGAAGTCTTGGGCAAATGCATGTGGTGTTGGAGCCCATGTTTTCAAGACTGGCTCTCCAGGACAGAGATGCACTTGTCATCACTGCAGCTTGCTAACTCCCAAGCTCAGTAGCTTTACAGCAGACTGGCTTTCCTATTGGTCTCTGATTCTGATACTGAATTTTTTAAGCACATGAACTAGGTATTATTTTACTAGTAGGACAGATAAGCTACCTTTATCTTACCTACTTTCTCATATTCCTAGCTGCTGCCTGGTGCTTTCCTTCCTTTGGTGTAGCAGTGTCAGTGTTAAACGGGCAGGATCTATTCTGGAAGCCTGTGGCTGAGATGGCTGTGGCCATGTCCGTTGTCTGGTGGAGAAATAGAAAGGAAGACCAAGAAGAGGGGGCAAACACAGAGAAATTGGTTTCCGGCCTCTCTGCAAAAGGGCTTACCATGTTAGAGATTAGAAAGGCATCATCAAGACTAAGTATAATGATAACTGAAGAATTTATGGAGAGAAGTAGTGTGGGGATCACTCCCCATCTCTGAGGGGAGGTGAAATGTAAAATGTGGCAGAAGGTAGCACAGCAGTACCTATTTCTTTAGAAGTGGCAGGTTTTCTCACTGTTGTCACCTTCTGTACCTTCACCCCAACATCACTCCAGATGTATTAAGAGATGGGATGATGCTCGGCATTTGCCACGTGAGTTTTGCCTTAGGTTGCACTTTGAGCTGCAGAATTTGTAGGGGAATTTGATGCTCACGAAGGAAGAGTGAAGAAAAATGAGACTGCTATGGTCAGGGCTTCTCCCGTGGCTGGGAGATGGTTCAAGCCGCGATGGTTCTTGTCAGGGCTTCTCCCGTGGCTGGGAGCTGGTTCAAGCCGCGATGGTTCGTGTCAGGGCTTCTGCCGTGGCTGGGAGATGGTTCGAGCCGCGATGGTTCGTGTCAGGGCTTCTCCCGTGGCTGGGAGCTGGTTCAAGCCGCGATGGTTCGGGTCAGGGCTTCTCCCGTGGCTGGGAGTTGGTTCGAGCCGCGATGGTTCGTGTCAGGGCTTCTCCCGTGGCTGGGGACCCGTGCTGCTGCCGCCCATAGCGCCTGGCTCCTCCCGCAGCCTGCTTTCTTGGGCCTCATTCCCTGCGGTGGCTCAAAAATTGGGGCCGGTGGTGCTGTTTTCGTTGGGTTTTGCGTCTGTTTCCCTTTTGCCCTCTGGGCACGGAGGCTGCGGCGGGCGCGGCGGGCCCGGAGCCGCTGTCGGGCGGGCCGGGCCGGGGCGGGGCGGGAGGAGGCGCGGCCGCCGCCGCCGTGTGGGGCGGGCAGAGGGCGGGCGGCGGGAGCCGGGCTTTAGAGCCGGGCTGTACAGCCGGGCTTTACAGCCGAGCTTTGACTACCGGGCTTTCACCGCCAGCGCCTCCGGGCCGGGGCCGGGGCCGGGGCAGCGCCGGGGCCGCGGTGAGGGGGCGCGGGCGGCGCGGCCTGCGCGGCTCTCCGGGCAGGGGGAGCGGGGCCCGGCGGGGCGGGGCGGGCCCGGGGCCGCTGCGGAGGCCCGGAGGGAGGCAGCTGCGGGGTCCCGGGGCTGGCGGTGCCCTGCTCGGATCCCCCATCCCCGCGGCCGGGCCCGCCCGCCCGCAGGGCCGCGCTGCCCGCGCCGCTCGGGCTTCAGGGAGGCGGCGGCTGAAGGTGCTTCCTGCCGGTCCGGGGATGCTGGGGCTGCCCTGTGTCTCACCCCGGGGATGCTGGGGCTGCCCTGTGCCGCTCCCCGGGGATGCTGGGGCTGCCCTGTGCCTCACCCCGGGGATGCTGAGGCTGCCCTGTGCCGCTCCCCGGGGATGCTGGGGCTGCCCTGTGCCGCTCCCCGGGGATGCTGGGGCTGCCCTGTGCCGCTCCCGGGGATGCTGGGGCTGCCCTGTGCCGCTCCCCGGGGATGCTGGGGCTGCCCTGTGCCTCACCCCGGGGATGCTGGAGCTGCCCTGTGCCTCACCCCGGGGATGCTGGCGCTGCCCTGTGCCTCACCCCGGGGATGCTGGGGCTGCCTTGTGTCTCACTCCGGGGATGCTGGGGCTGCCCTGTGCCGCTCCCCGGGGATGCTGGAGCTGCCCTGTGCCGCTCCCCGGGGATGCTGGGGCTGCCCTGTGCCTCACTCCGGGGATGCTGGGGCTGCCCTGAGCCGCTCCCCGGGGATGCTGGGGCTGCCCTGTGCCTCACCCCGGGGATGCTGGGGCTGCCCTGTGCCGCTCCCCGGGGATGCTGGGGCTGCCCTGTGCCGCTCCCCGGGGATGTTGGGGCTGCCCTGTGCCGCTCCCCGGGGATGCTGGGGCTGCCTTGTGCCGCTCCCCGGGGATGCTGGGGCTGCCCTGTGCCTCACCCCGGGGATGCTGGGGCTGCCCTGTGCCGCTCCCCGGGGATGTTGGGGCTGCCCTGTGCCGCTCCCCGGGGATGCTGGGGCTGCCCTGTGCCGCTCCCCGGGGATGTTGGGGCTGCCCTGTGCCGCTCCCCGGGGATGCTGGGGCTGCCTTGTGCCGCTCCCCGGGGATGCTGGGGCTGCCCTGTGCCTCTGCCCGGGGATGCTGGGGCTGCCCTGAGCCGCTCCCCGGGGATGCTGGGGCTGCCCTGTGCCGCTCCCCGGGGATGCTGGGGCTGCCCTGTGCCGCTCCCCGGGGATGCTGGGGCTGCCCTGTGCCGCTCCCCGGGGATGCTGGGGCTGCCCTGTGTCTCACTCCGGGGATGCTGGGGCTGCCCTGTGCCGCTCCCCGGGGATGCTGGAGCTGCCTTGTACCGCCTTGTGCCGCTCCCCGGGGATGTTGGAGCTGCCCTGTGCCGCTCCCCGGGGATGCTGGGGCTGTTCTGTGCCTCTCCCCGGGGATGCCAGTCCCGTGGCAGACTAAAAAGTCCCTTTGAAGCGATAAAACAGAGCTGCGCGGCTCGCACTGCCGGCAGCGGTGCTTCCAGCTCGCTGACCAGTCCGTGGCTCGTGGTGCGGGTCCGCTCCCGTGTTCCCGGGATGTCACCGGGCTGCCAGCTCCCAGAGGACCAGGGCGGAATCTGCGATAAATTTGGTTTTCCGTGCTGGTAGCCACGCGAGCATCCAGCCCGTGTGCCCCAGTGACACGGTTTGGGCATCGCCGGTGGTAGCGGCTCCTCTGTGCCTTTACATGACAATTTGGAGAGGTTGCACTCATATCTGCCTTTGCGAGGTTGTTGGCTTAGAGAGCTGTAGGGATAGAGAGCTGACAGGAATTGACAGCTTGTAAAAAAACCCAAAGCATGCGGCATAATTTAATGACGTATTCATAAAAATGTCATTAAATCGGTTTTTGTTTTTAACATTGGGTAAAATGGGGCTTGTGGTTACATGGAACAAAGCTGAGAGAAGCAATACTTAGCAATAAATAGCAGAAAATTCAAGGGCACAGCATTGAAGTTTAAAATACTTCAACAAAATCCTTGGGTCATTGTAGAAACTAAAGTGATTTTACAGGTAAAAAGTCGTAATTGCCATTTTATTTTGTGCCACTGTAAGCAAACCACCAATGTATACATTTTATTAAGAAATATTTGTGTGTGTTTCTGTAGATGTATTTATTTTTGAATGTATTGTTTCCAAGGTTATCTGGCCTTTTGTGTGGATGGCTTCAGAGAACACTTCAGGAGTAGGGTAAGTGCTAAGGCTTTTTGGTGTACTTATGGGCTTCCCTTATACAAAAAATGAATGGGATCAGTTGTTCACCAATTGTGATGAAACTGGCAGTATATTAAGCCTTTAGCATAAAGAAAGCTCTAAACCTGTACATTTAAATGTTTGGGGGCACGTGACATCTACAGAATACAGAAAATTTTGAATAAAAATATATGCAACAGTGTTTGTGGTATTTTTAGGCATCTGAAATGACATGAAATTACATCTGAAATTTTAGGCATATGAAATTACGTTACATTTTCAATATCTTGTGCTTTTCAGTGATGTGGAAAGAATTCTCAGCAACAGAACTGAAAATTCTGGTTTTGTCTAATGTATTTGTTTTTCTTCCTCAAAAGGACATATATGTCCTTAAATTAGCATTTTCATGTACTCTAGGTATATTTAATATCAATTTACGACACAAGCTGCTGTTTTATGCAAATTTCATATTAGTGCAGAACCGTTCCAACAAAGCTGCATTTTTTGTGGCATTTTGATACTTTCACTTTAATGGAAGTCTTGCTCTTTCAGTGCTAGTTCACTGGTCAGAAATACAATCTCTCTAATTCTCAGCAAAGCATTTGAAGTTATAATCCCTATAATCCTTGTAAAGCAATTTGATGTGTGGTCTATTTTGAGGCTGTCCTGGTTATACCAGTAATGTATTTCAGTTTTCTAGCCTGTGTTGATTTGATAAATAATTTTTCAATCTTGATATTTAATGTATCATTATGTTTCTTTTAAATTTACACAGCATTTTTAATATAGTCTTAAAACTATAGGTACTATATATTATATTAATTGTATAAATTCTCAGTTATACAATTTATAGAAAGTTTTACAAAGTTTATATAATCATTTGATTGTGTTGTTGCACTTGGTGCATGGTTGTATGAGTAATGCTGCTTTGAGGATATTGGGTTTGGAGAGATTGGTGTCTTCTGAGTGTCTGTCCTTGCCATCTGTTTTCTGTTTCCAAGTTTAGAGCTTCTGCAAGTACAGTACCCTTCTTCTTGCAAAAAGACTGCATCAAAATTGTCCTTCTCAGAAGAAAAGGAAGGTTTAAGAGTCATTCTCAAGCACTGAGAACTTTATCAGTGCCTGTTAATTCTGTGATTTTATAGCAGATCAGTCAGCAAGCAACCTTAAAGGAACAATATTGTATGGAAGCTAAAACTTATGAAAGACAGTACTATTATTAGATTTAAAGAACCAATCCAAACAGATTGTATTCTTTCCAGAAGTTTATTTTTTTATTTTTAGAGCTGCATATCAGTACCTGAGATAAAAGGAATGATAAAAAAGCAAAACAGGGAAGATGTAATGTAATGTTGCAGATGTTGCATGAAGCTAAATTTTAGTGCTTTTGACTCTCTTAGGTATCTCATCTTTAATGCTACAGTTGATTTATTTTCCCCTCTTCCCAAACAGAAAACTGGAGGAAGATTTGTCTTGCTTATCTAAATTTGTTTCAGACATCAGTGTTTAACAACTTATTGGAATGTGTAAGCAGGTAAATGAGAGATGTCTGAACCCACAAGTTTCTGCTATAAAAGCTAATGGGAGATGTCCAAATCCACAAGTTTCTCCTACAAAAGCTAAAGGGAGATGTCTAAACCCATAAATTTCTGTTTCAGTCTGGTAATGTCTGGATGGTGGTGGTGTGGCCTAACAGATAAATAGGGTGGTGGTTATTTGTTTTTATGATAAGAGTTTGCTTTGGCAGATCCAAGAGAATTATGTAACGTGATAGTGCTGTTCAGATTAGTTTCACTAAAACAATCTGTACTGACTGTTCTATTGTGCTAGTTATTGCCCCACCATTTGTAAGCTTTCGGTGCAAAACTTGACTTTAGTTTTGTAACATTTTGGGACTTAATACAGTTTTTGCAAATGCACTTGCAGGAAAAGTGGAAGTCAAGTGAATTCTCTGGTGCTCTGCTGGGACGAAATGCCATTCCTGTTTGCAGTGGATGGAAGCCATGGCAGTGTGTAACATGGGAGGGAAAGGCACGGATGGACCATGTGGCGTGACTCGTTCAGGCTGCAGCTCTTCTGCCTGCTCATGGCAGTGCTGGCTCTTGTGGTGCTGGTCCATAACTTCTTTCAGTTAGAGGTAAGTGGGGCCTGTTTCTTCTCCAAGATGGCTTGAGCAACATTATTGCCTTTCGAGTGTAAGGTTAGAATTATCTGACTGACAGCATTTAGCTGTCAGTCAGAAAATTCATAGTTTGTGGGACAATAGTTGTAGAAGTTGTATTGTCCAACAATAGTTGAAGGCATGTTTGGATGTATTTATTCCAACATCCTCCTCAAAAGGCTGGCATCAGAGTTAGCTTGGACTGCAACAGGGTATTTTAACTTTTGACCATATTCAAGGGCACTCATATTTCACAACCTACTTAGGCAGCCTGTTGCAATGCTGCCTCCTTCTTAGAGGGAAGAATGTTTGCCTTATGTGCAACAGGAAGTTGCCTTTTATCCTGTTAGAGTGTACTTTAACTCCAGTTCCTGTGTGCCTCCCCTGTGGGTAGTGAAGGACTGCAGTTAGGCTCCCTTTTAGTCTTCTCCAGAATGAAAAAAGATGCTTTGGTTCTCTTAGTGTCATTCCAGTTCCCTAATCATCTCAAGAGTTCTTAGCTGGTCTTGCCAGCTTTAGTCTGGCATAGGTTGTCCAAAAATCAGACACAGTGTTCTAGGTATGACTTCACCATGGTCAAGTTGAGGAGAATTCTAACTTTGCTCCATCAGCTGGTTAGGATCTTGTTAATTCCTTGCCACAGTGCTGTTCTGCTGACACATGGTGAGTTTGCTGTCTCCTGGAATCCCTAGGTCTTTTTCTGCAGAGCTGTTACTAGCTTGTTCATCTTCGCCCTGTACTGGTGCAACTTTTATTTACCTTTCCCTCTTTCCCTTTTTCCCTCTGCTGTGTCTGTCTTGCATCTTTCTTCATTTTACTTCTCACTTCAGTGCAGAGGTCCTTTCAAACTGCTTAGTCAGTAACCCCAGATTAAAGCCAAGGAGGATGAGGATGTGTCTGCAGGAGCCCTGGAGGCTGACCCTGCCCACTGGCTGCCTGCCTGGCCAGGCCTTCCAGTGCTGCATTTGGTGGATGAGCATTGGAATGCTTACAAGGACAGCTTGTAAATTATAGCTGTCCTTTGTGCGTGCCAGCCAGTCAGTGATTGCTTTATGCTTTTAAGTTGTGTATATGCTGCTTGCAGAATCTTCCTTACTTCTGGTTAGTGATGCCCAAATGAAGTGATCCAAAAGAGGAGCTGTAAAGCCCCCTCACCCCACACACAAAGTATAGTTGAATAGGAAGAGGATCACGTAAGGGTAAGGAAGATGTTTGGGAAGTCTAAAACCACAAGTGACTCAGGATCAATAACTGAAGAACGAGTGTTTGTTACATATTCCAGTGCTAGTGGACACATTAAATAACTGCAGATACTGATTTCAAAGGAAGCAGGGATAGTTTTTATGGATTGCAGCAAAGCTACAGAAGCCTTTGCAGTTACTAAATGCATATATTCAAAAAATCTGGATGAATGCACAGAAGAAAAATACATTAGGGGATATTAGATCTTAAAGATGTTTACACTAGTGTTTAAGAAATCTAAACCATAAAGGGTTAGAAAGTGTATTAAATCTACAGGAGGAAATGGCACAGCATGTTTGGTCTGTTTTCTTTTCCCACGTACATGCTGTTGGAAACTATTGGCAATCAAAATATTGTGTTTGAAGGGCTTTTGTTTCAAGTTAGCATGATCCATTTTGTTCATAGGAGGTGGCTTTTGTTTTCTCGTTCTGTGGTTTTATTTTGTTTTGGGTTTTGACCTAGGATGTTGCCTGAGGAGTGTTGATATTTAGAATCTTAAACTGTTTTCTTTCCATTTTAAAATTACATTTCTTAGAGAAAAGGGCTCTGGCAGTGCTTTGAGAGTGGAATGGAAGATGCAGATTGGGTGTTTGCTCTGTGTTTTTTCTGGCCACTGTCCATGATAAGTGTCTTTGTGGCTTTGTTGCCCTTTACATATCTGCTGTTGTAACCTCAATTAAGTATTGTGTTGCTGGTAAATCTTTACACTATAACATGCAACTCTAACTGCTTCTCTTGCCATGACTTTTCTGAATGGACCTGCCCCTGTATTTACCTTGGCTCAGTTTTCCAGGCAATCTAATACAGGCATTTATGCTGATTCTTTTCAGTCAGAGATCAAAGCCAGAAAAAAAATTATAAAGCTTTCACAGAATATCTGTAACCAAATCTGTTCAGGCTCTGGAAAGAGAGTTTATTGTTGGTTAGTGTTGAGAATGTGTTTGTAAATGCATCAGACATACTTTTCATCCCCAAGTCATCCAGCCTAGCTGGCTACAGCTCAAGATTTAAGGCAATTGTCAGCTAGTGTCCTTTCTTTTTTACTTTTCTTTTCATGTTAGAATGTTTCCTCTTAATTTCTTAAACTACTAATGACACCCTCACAGTAGCCATATGCATGTCAGAATTTTACTTTCCTTATCTTGTGTTTAAATCCCTCCCCCCTCAAAAAAAAAACAAGCTGTCCACAAAAAGTTTGGTAGCCAGCTTATTATTTGCTTTGCTTTTTATTATGGAATAACTATTCCCTTGAGGTCACATGGTTGATCATATAGTACCAGAAGAAATGTGATTTTATTTTATAATCCTTTTCTGTGAGTATAGCCAGACAGATAAAATGTACAGTAATTTTTTTTGGTGAAGTATCAGGATGTTGCCCAAACATCATGTTTTCAGGATGCAGTGGCCTTTAGAGTGACAGAACCACTTTGGGGTTGGTTGTTTTATTTAAAAGCACCTAGAAGAGAGAGTGTATGGGGAGAAGCTTCTTGCCAAGACAGTGTATGAAATCAGATGGCTGAAATTGAACAAAAGAACTGTGTAACAAAGCTTTAAATTCTTGCTGCTAAGCTGCAGGTGCCTACAAAAGATAACTTTATCTTATTCCAATTATTTCTGGAACATTTCACTGCCAGGTGATGGCTTTTGAGGACTGGCTTTGACACTTAGAGTACTTCAGCAGCCACTTAGTGCTGTGAGATGGTAATGATAGAGAGCTGATTTCATGTCTGTCACAGACAACAAAGTACCTGGAGTGTAAAATTACTGAATAAAAGATGCCTTACCTTTCAGGAATTGGTATTTGCTCAGATTCAGATGCTGATTCCTGGAACTTTTATTTCCCCGCTGTGCCTGTTGCCTGGGAATCTCCTGTGTTGTTTCCTGCTCCAGTGACAGTCACTTTTGCATGTCTGCAGCAGCTGCTCAGGATGTACCTGTCCAAGGCAGGAGTTAACAGCTGCTGGAAGACACTGGGCTTTGAGGTGGAGTTCCCCTTTTCCAGCAGCAATGGAAATACACAGTGAATTCATCAGGCACCTCCATCGTGGTGTTTAACTGAGGACAGGTGTTCATTGCAGATCTTCCCAAGTACTCTGTGACCCATCTAACATATTTCTGAGAGTATTATTGGCTAGATTAATCTATATGTTGTATCTAATTTTTGCTTAGATGACAGTGAGAATGCCAAAAGCTGAGGAGATGAGCTGAAACTTCCATTAGTTCTCATAAAAATACAGCTTACTTTTTTCCTTTTTATGACATCTCTAGTGCAGGAACTGCTAGTGGATTTATTTGTGCTTAATTGACATGTAATCTCTACTGTCCTGCCTGTGTTACTTGGCAGATAGCCATTAAATTACTTTGTGGTCACACTTGGGTTTTGGTTAGCTTCAAAATGCAGTAAATTAAAAAAAAATTATAGAAAAAGCCCCAACAAAACAAAACAAAAAAACCCCCTAAACAAACTCCTCCCACACAAACAAAAAACTCTCAAACCCAACAAACAAACAAACACCCCTTGGGAATTGCACTTAAAATACAGGATACCTTGAATGGAGTATACATGGAAATAAGCAAAGCAGGTGTTATCCAGCATGGAGCTTGTAATGAACACTGAAAGAATCTGTGTCATAAAGGAAGAGCACTCTTGAGAAATGCTCTTTATCTATTTTTCATAAAGGAATTTTGTTTAGTTGAGCTACTGACTACAATAGAAAGGCCTCCATTGTGCACAGTCTCAGTATGACAACACAGGGAGCCAAGAGGGAAATGCCAGGAGGGAGCAGGAAATGGAGTGGGCACAAACTGAGCTGATTGCTTACCTCAGAGCAGCCCTTGTGTACCCAGAGGGGCAGCAGGACTGAAGTGCTTGTTTGGAGCTGAGCCTGGGAAACACTTAAGGAAGGAAGATGCTTTGGAAAGCTTTTATATTCCAGTCAGGGATCATTGTATTAATTGATTGAAGCTGTATTAATTGACTGAAGCTTTTTCTGCCTTTACTGGCAAAGAGAATCTCTGCAATATTTTCTCCTGTGAATAGCATACATGGTCTAGCTTATTTTCACACATAAGCTTATAATTCTGCAACAATACAGGGTCCTGGTTGGGCTTGAAAGAGGGCTGTAAAGATGAGCAAGGATGCTGGAGAAAGAATGCTCCTTCAGGATGTTGAAGAAGCTCTGCTTTTGCCTTCATGGAGCTTCCCCCACAGGCCCCTTGAAGATAGAATGAGGAAATATTTGTGGTGTGATCTCTTCTGCTTAGTGGGACATAACCTGGAGATGTTGAAGTGACAGTGCTTGTGCTTGTTCTCAGCTGCATACAAGTGAAGAGCTTTGGCCTCATGCTCTGCTGAAAATCTGTGTAGGTGGACTGATTTGGAGACATCAACCATATTCTGTTTTCTGAATGAGTTTGTTGGCTTGTTGTTCTCTGCACCCTTTCCCACTAAAAGATACAGGTATGCCCCTGGAAAAACTCCAGAAAGCCTAGCTAGGCCAGAAATGGCATCTCTACATCTCTGGCAGAAATTCTGGGTTTAAAACCCCGAGGAAATTTATAGAAGATTAATAATAGGGATGCATAAAATTTTAAGCTGTCTTACATAACCATCTCTTCTTAATTTGAAAGGATTTGTTTTTCCCATGTCCACCAACCCAAAGTACCAACCATTGAAGAACCAACTGAAAACCAGAAACTTTCTCTTGGGAATTTACACTAAAACAGCAATTAATTGTAACACATATTCTCTCTTTCCACTCCTCCTTAATAAAACGCATAATTATTTTTGCTGAGACATTGTTAGTGGCTTATTGGATGCATCAAAATATACAGCTAACTTTTAAAAATATTTCCATGCAGCATTTTCTGTTTTATATATATATTTATGCATGAGCAAGTGAAGGGAAGAAGTTGTGAAGTATCCAAAAATAGAAACTTGGCTTAATTCAAGAATTCATTAAAGTAGAACTGTGCCTGAGATTCACTCTCAGCTTTGGCTGAAATTTACTGGACTAATAAAAGTAATGTGCAGCATACATCTGCAGCTTGGCTTGCTGCAGCTTGGCTTGCTGCAATGGAAAACAAAAATGATTATAAATTATGGCCTTCAGGGAAAATTTATTAAATCCTGGGTGGGAATATAAAACAGAAGCTAAAGCTTGTATTGTGATGTTAACATCTGGTGCATAGATGGGTATATGACAATTTCTGTTTTAGAGCTACAGTGTAGCATTTTAAAGTTTCAGGTTTTATAGTTAACTTGGATATCAAACAAACAAGATTTTGCATGTCCATCCTACATCCTCACGTGCTCATCCTCTTACTCTAAAGCTGATCAAAACCAATTTATGTCACAGACTTCAAAAGTCTGTATGTTTCTATTGCTTGTTAGGTTTGCCTATCTTCTAAATAAGTATGTTGAATCTCAGTGTGGTTCAAATTATTTTAAGGCACTGCTGTTATTTCCATGGCTTAAGAAAGGTTTATAACAATAAGGCTTTAATATGAGTGTTGTGACTTCTAGTACATGAATGAGCAGTTAGTTAAGGAGGAAGTAAATGGCAAACACTGAGGTATTGGTAAGTACAACGGTATTTTTGAAGATTTCAAATAATTTAGTTTGAATTTTTTTAGCAATCTTTCAAATCTAAATGAACATATCATCTGATGCTATGTGAATGATACACTGTATAATTTTAATCTTTGCTTGAAAAACTATTCTTTATGAAATAGAACTATAGAGAAATTATACTATATATACCTGGTAATTAATTAACTGCTGATTCTGTGTGTATTTGAAGGGGTTTTTCTTAGTTTGCTGATTAGAAGTCTCATGGGTACCCCTGAAGTCTTAGACTGTGCTATTTTAAAAATTTTCCTAATGCAAACCTGCAAAATTATGTGATATCATTAAGAAGATGGTATCTGCAGTAATTTGCATGCAAATACAGTTTTGGACACTGATACTTTTGCACAAAATGCAGTTTTTTCAAGTTGCAGCAGAAGTCTCTTCTCTTAGTCTAGCTTTGTATTTAAGTATTTTAATTTTTAAACTCTTGTGTGATTAGGGGATGCTTTGCTTGCTGTTTCATCTGGTGCTAGAAGCAGATGTGTATAGATTTTTAAATCTTATATATAAACAAGCAGGTTTTTTGCCTGTTTAATCCTAGCTTGTGCTGCACTATTCTACTTGCCAACTGGCTCATGAACTCATTGTCCCAGGAGGATCTGGGCTTTTGTTCTTTTATTTCTTTTAATGTGTACTTTACAGGGAAGCATGCATTTCAGATAAGGAGCGATGTGAGTGTGACCAGATTAATGACTGCAGCTGCTACATGCAGCAAACCTCTCCAGAAGGCCTGTGCAGGGGGTGCATCAGCTTAACCTGCAGTGTAACATCCCAAAGAAACCCTATTTCCTTGCATTACATGAGACAGCTATTAGAACACACGGGGCAGCTATTAGAACTCATGGTGCTCCAAGACTAAAATGTTACTGCAGAAGAAAATGAAATGTGAGTTATAACTTAATCATCCAACCTTTTGCCATTTTTTCCCCACACTGCTGATATTTAGAGAGTGTACTGGTAGCTGAAACACTGCCATACACTGGATGTGGTCTCTTTAAATGCTTGTTTGCCAAAGCAGGAGAACTACAGGTTGCCCACCTGCTTCCTTAGAAATCCCATGGTCAAAGTAATAGATTTGGGTCTTCTAGAGAAGTTGCTTCATTTGGTCAGCTTCAAAGCTCTGTAAAGCAAAGCCCAGTTCTTGGGATCATTTCCCAACAAAGCATCCATTATTCCCAGTGTTTCATTTCATAGCACAGCTTCAGGTAATCTTTTTCTCCCCAGCACCTGGATGATGACACGGTTTCAGGATCGAATTGGATTACAGAGAACAATGTGCAGCATTCTCTGTCACAGACAACCAAAAGCACCAGGAAGCCTTACTGCGGGTACGTGCAGCAGCCCTTGTCCAGAAGGGAGCAAGCGGAGCAGGAGTCGCTGCTGGCTGCAATACAGTGGCCACAGCCCCCCGAGGGCAGAGTCGCCTTTGCACAGAGCACTGACCCTGCACACAGTGACTTTGTGATTGTGAAGCCCAGCAGGTTCCTCAGGGTGGGGGATCAGCTGGAGGTACTCGTTCGTATGAAGGATTTCCAAGGAAAACCCAAGCAGTACGGTGGAGACTATTTACAGGCACGAATTCACTCTCCTGGGCTGAAAGCTGGAGCAGCAGGAAGGATTGTAGATTGCCATAATGGCCTTTACAAAATCTTCTTTACCTTGCTTTGGCCAGGAGAGGTCAAAGTTTCCGTGTCACTCGTCCATCCGAGTGAAGCCATCCAAGTGCTCCTGCGGTTACGAGAGGAAAGGCCGGACAGGGTCTATTTCAAAAGCTCATTCAAGTCTGGGAGGTATTCGGAGACCACAGAGTGCAACGTTTGCCTGCCTGCAGGTCTCCCAGTCTGTAACTTCACAGATCTCTACACGGGTGAGCCCTGGTTCTGTTACAAGCCTCGAAAACTGTCCTGTGCCAGCCGAATCAGCCATGCCAAAGGTGGATATCTGAAAGGTCTTCTGACACAAGAGGAAAGCCTCTTTTTCCAAAGGTTTGTATGTTGTTGAATTTATATATATTCAGTCAAGTTGTTTTGTTTGTTTTTTTTTTATACAAACATTAGCCTGTTGCTTAAATATGCCACATTGCCTTAGAGGAGGAGTGGCTCTGCAGGACCAGGTGTTTGGTGTTAGCTGTTGAATAGTCTGTTCCCCTCCATCCACCCGTGCAAGAATCTTACACAGCAATCTTAAAGGAACTTGGCATGTAGTTCTCTTTCTGTGCTTAGAATTCAACCCTACTGAATTGCACAAGAGCATGCTGTCTAAATCTGGTGGTGGTTTGTGGGGGTTGCTGTTGCCTTATTTTCTGTTTCCATACCTACACTTGCAATATTAGTAACAATGCTTTGAGAAGTATTTCTGTCCAAATATAAACTACCCAAAAAGGGTCCAGGTTTTAGGCTCATTTTTACAGAAATTACCAATTGTTTTTGTCCACATCAAAAATTATCTCAAATGTGTCCCTCGTTACTCAATATGACTTTCAAATCTTAGAAACAGTTTTCACAAAGAAAACACCTGGTGGAACAAATTGCTGAGCAATACCCATGCAAATGGAAATGATCTGTGTATGTTATTTCAAGTGTCAAACTAAATTAGTTTCACAGTCATGTTTTATTTCTGCATTCAACATTAAAAGAAACCACCCAAACCATCTCTTAGTGCCTGGGTATGTGTGACAGAACTGCTTCTTTATGAAATAACACAGCTGAATTTATCTAAAGTTAGTTATTGTGTAGTGTCAGATCTGTAGTTGTAGGCTAATGCCTTGCTCTACAACAAAGATGTTGTAGGAAAGTCTTTTGGCATTATGTTCACTTGAGGCCTAAATTGGGAAAGATTTTAGAGCAGCAGCTCCAAATAGTTGAATTTAGGAAAGTATGTGTGCATGTTCATAACCAAGACCAGAAATAAAAAGTAAGTATCAGTAGAATTTTTTTTTGGCTGTTCTGAATCAAGTTTGTAAGTCTTTTGACTTTCTTTGTCTCTGTCAGTCCACCTGTAAAATATAGCTTAGATTTATTGGTAATGTTTCCATTTGGGAATGGGAAAGATGTTTTTCTTGGTTTAGTTTTGATTGATTGTTCAGCTCTGAGATCCTTGACCAAATTGGCTTAAAGAAATTCCACATAATTTATTTCTTAAATGGAGAAAAAAAAATAGATAAGGATTCTCTTCAGAACAGTAGAAAAAGACAGAACAAGATCTTATTGTTAGTCAGCTGGGAGCCTTGCAGTAGCTTGTCCCCACAAGTTCTGCAAGCTGGGAGCATCTTTGGGTCAGTGCCATGAAATTTTGAATTTGGATCGAGAATAGTGATGGTGGTCTCAAAGTAAATGTGGCATGAATTCAGCTATAGAAGTAGAGTAAACTTGGAGTAAAAATTCATACTGTGTGCTTATTTGAAGTGGAGTAAGAAAACAATGAGATTTATATTACCTTCAAGTTTCACAGTAACTTTTACAAATACTGCTGTGTTCATTTTTTGTTCAAGTGATGTGAATATCAAAAGGCCGATACTCTCCAGTGGACCTGATTCAGTCATTGTAAAGCCCAAGGCATTTACAGGTAAGGTGAACTACATTAGATTCTTGTTTGTAATTCATAATTAAATTTATTAAAAGAACAACAGGCGTCAAATAATTTGGGTTTTTTTTTTAGCATGGAAAAAAATCAGTATTAGATTTCTATGGAGATGATGAAGGTTTTTGAGTGTTAACTGTAATACAAGTTCAGAAATTAATTTTTTTTCTAAAATTACATACATAAATGGGATTTTTAGCAAAAAAAGAAATCAAAAGAAGAGAGAAGTTTGTTCTCTTAGCCAAAAATGTATTTTATTTCCCCTAGCATTTACTCACAGTGTAAAATGTCTTAGAGTAACTGCTTTCCAAACTCTCAATCTAATGAAAACAGCTGTGATCTGTTTCTTTATTTCTTTCTTTATTAAGGATGATGTCTAACAGATTTTGATAACTTGCATTTAAGTATTACTATAATTTGTGTTACCACAGGATGTCAGAATTTACAGTTCTGGACTAGAACCTAATTGTTCTGTGCCCTTTCTAAGAATAGAACAAAGACAGTCTGTACTAAAATAAATTCAGAGGTTTTGTCTCATTCATATCCAAAAGCAAGCTTTTTATGCTTCTAAAAAGTCTGCAAATAATGTGATACACAGAGAGTTATTTATTAAATGAAAACTTTTCATATTTTTTTCCATAAGATTATAAGACACTTTTAAGGTAGAGTTAGTGACCTGAGCAATAAAGTTTGAACAGAAGGCAACTTTGAGAATTTCTTGCTTTTGGTTTTACTGTTCACTGAAAAAATGCAGTTCTGCTACTGGGCTTGCAGCATTTTACCCTCCACTTCGTTTCTTTGTCCAGATCCTTTAGCTGATATGTTTTTGTTGCTTTTTTAATCCTGTATGTTTCCTGACAGAAACTGCTGCAAATTCAAAATTTGATGGTCACCCTTCTTCCAGGAGCTAAGAATGATCAAAGCCTGCCAACAATGTCCTGACAATTAATGCTAGGTTAAAAAGGGTTGATAGGAGTGGCACATTTCCTCAGGGAAATTCCTTCCAAATAAAGCAATCTCTGAATAAATAAACTGAACTCATTGGTGTACTGTTCGTGAGTGTGTGCATTTGTTAGGACTGATGACACACACAAAGTCATTGTTCTGCTGTTGTTCTTTTTGTTCTGTTTTTCTGTGTGGTGGTAAATGTAGATCAAGTTTCTTTAAGCCTTTTTTTTTCTGACATACAAGTTGTTTTTTTTCTATCCTTGGTTTTCAACTTCAGACTGAAGATTTTATTCTCTTTTATAAAATCTCAAAGTAAGGGCCCGTTCTGAATTCTGGGCCAAAACTGGTATGATACTATACAGAGTTGAAGTGCTGATTTACTGTGGGGCACCAAAAAGTTGTTCTAGTTATGTATGTGTATGTATATATATATATATAAATATGTATATATATATATATATATATATATATAAATGTATATAAATATATAAAAAAATGTATATATATATATATATAAAACCACTGTTTTATAAATATAAGAAAATCCATCTAAAAGGTAAAAAATTGAATTGCTTTTGCATCGAAACTTAGAATCAAACTCAAGTTGTGAATTCACATTATGAATTAATCTTTAACTACGTGACCATGTGAAGGCTTTTTTTTTTCCTTTCTCCTGTTAATAAATATTGGATGAGTCCACATTATTAGCTGGGGTTTTTTTTTCCTTCCGTGTTCCTGCTGTCAGATTTAAAGAATCATCCAGAGACAGAATTTTCTGATGGTAATTGTGATTATATTATTTGTGTTACACAAACATAGTAATAGTTTGCATTTTAGTGTCCCTGTGCAGTCTAAGGAGGTTAACATCCTCTAACCTCTAAGGTTAACATCTACTAATACAACATGCAGAGGATATTGAATAGAAAAAGAGCTGTTAGAAATGCTTATTAGGAAAGATGGTTATTCTTGGCTGTGTGTTATAATGAAGCATCTATCAGAGGATGCTTTTGGGCTCTGGCATTCCAGTGCTTGTGCTTTTACCTAATTTGAACAGTCCCAGGCATGATTTTGGCCATGGCAAGGTGTGCTGTATCAAACAGCTGCAGGTTAGGACAGGGCATGGACTGTTCTTAGCAGTCTCCACACCAAGGTGAGTAGAAGTGTTTAAACAGCTGGAAGTGTCTGCTCCATGCAGCTGCTGTTAGTGCCAGGGAAGATCTCCATGCTTGTCCAGCTGAGGTATTTGCATACACAAAAATGGCAAAGGACGAACCTGAAACAACCTTATGGAACTTTGGTGTACCAACATCACCCTGGTTACTACGAGAAATATGGCAATATTTGGCTAATATAACCATGAGATTGCAGCTTCTCATCCTGTAATCTTCTGTAATCCTGATTTGCTTGCGAGGTATTGCTCAACTTCTGCAAGTTAAAAAGGCATCCTATGGAACACAGCTAATGTGTAGCTGCTCCTCAGGGGGCTGCCTGTCCCAGGAAATAAATGGGGGAGGGGGCTATATAGCAGAGAGCAAGTACAAAATCCATGGAATTAGAGACTCTTACAATGATCATATTCATATAACATTTTCGGTCATAGCTTCAATTCTGGCATTTTCTGGCTTTGGAGGACTTATGGCTCAGACTTAACTCTTCTAGAGTCCAGGGTATGTGTTATTCTGTAGGAGCAGTTTTTTGGGGGTTTGTTTTGGTCTGATTGGGGATTTTGGTGGGTTTGTTTTGAGTTTTTCGGGTGTTTCTGTGAGTGCTGCCGGACACTGGAGGGCAGCAGCGCTCCGCGGGAGATGCTCGGCCACGGGAGATGCTCGGCCACGCATCTCGGGAGATGCTCCGCTGCTCTCCCTGCCTCCGCTCCCGCCTGCCGGGCGAACACCCGCCACCGAGCAGTTCTAGCGCGGGGAGAAAAGTGGCAAATGCGTTTTTACATCAGCAGCAAAGATACCGCGTAATTTAAACCAAGCTGAACTATAATCGGCCACTCAGCTCTCGTCAGCAGTTGCTGATTAGGTGTGAAGATTATGGAGGCTGCTTTAGTTGCATGTTAATTTCAAAGGATTTTTCTCTTCCAGATTCAAGCAGTATGGGCAGAGCTGAAGATCCCACAGCTTCTCCTTCTGGTTATTATTATGAAGACCAGTGGAGGTCCAGAACACATTGGATCCATAATTTTAACAAATCAGATGATATAACTGAGTGTTTACAAGGAAAAGTAATCCATTTGTTTGGAGACTCTACAATAAGGCAGTGGTTTGAATATTTGACAGCATTTGTTCCAGGTAATTTTTTGTTATTTAGCTTTGTCCTTAAGGACCCTTTCAAAGCCTTATCTCTCACATCTCAGACACAGAGCTGGTTTTGCCGAGTGACAGTGACAAAAAGGAAGAGGAAAGACAAAACCTCATCAGAAGCCCTGGCAGACAGTCAAATATTTGAGCAGACACTGAAAACCTGTAAACCTTGTAAATGGGGCCACCAGGTATCTGTAAAGTTGTCCTTGTAACAGGACTGCTGCTGTAGTTGTGAGTTAAGGTGCCACCCAGGGGGCACTGCAGGAAGTCACTTGAGTTGCCTCTGTAAGGCCTTGCAGTGTCCCAGTCACAGGAGAGATTTTGGAATGAAGTAACAAATTACCTCCATTGCTGTTTATAGGTTTGGGGCCTTATTCAAGTTACTTAAGTAGACGAATTTCAGTAGACAACTAAATATTCCCCTCTCCCTCATCCATTTTCCCTGAACTGCTTCAATTGTGTTAGATTATGTCTTTGAGCTGCCTAAATTCCTGCAATTTGAAGTAATCTTTAACTTTAATGGAGTCCTAAAATTGCTAGAAGGGTTCTTGGGAACCCTGGATTCGGAGAGTAACAATGACTATTTGGAAACTTTATTTTTCACAAGAGAGAAAGAAATAGTTTGGGAAGCTTGGAAAATACATTGACAGCCTTATGAAGTCCAAATGTGCTGTCCTGCAGATTTCAACACCCACATACTCTGAAAAATTATGCTCGCCTTCTGTTTAATTCCAGAGATATGTTCAGATTTGCTTATCTACTCCTGCTTTGCCCTGTGGCGCGAGCACCTTGTTGACAGTTTGAAGTTCTTGTGCCACCTTTTGCTAACACTTGCTCCCGGGCTTTCAGATCTGGTGGAATTTAACCTGGGCAGCCCCAAGAACGTGGGCCCCTTCATGTCGGTGGACCTGAAGCACAACATCCTGCTGAAGTTCCGCTGCCACGGGCCGCCCATCCGCTTCTCCACCGTCTTCAGCAGCGAGCTGCGCTACATCGCCAACGAGCTCAACAGCATCGTGGGCGGCCGGAACACCGTGGTGGCCATCACCATCTGGTCCCACTTCAGCACCTTCCCCGTGCAGCTCTACATCCAGCGCCTCAGGAACATCCGCAGGGCCGTGCTCCAGCTGCTGGACCGCAGCCCCAAGACTGCAGTCGTCATCAGAACCGCCAACGTGCAGGAGCTGGGGCCAGAAGTGAGCCTCTTCAACAGTGACTGGTACTCCTTTCAGCTTGATTCTGTCATGAGGAAAATGTTCTCAGGAATTGCTGTGCACTTTGTGGACGCTTGGGAGATGTCTGTGGCTCATTACTTGCCACATAACCTGCACCCTAGTGAAATAATTGTAAAGAATCAAATAGATGCATTTTTATCTTATGTGTGCCCTTTGCAAACTTAGCACAAATGGGTATCCCTATGTCATCTTTTGCTATAGCCCGGGAACAGTTGCTCTTTGAGCTGTGGAATGAGGCTGGATGATATGGAGGAGCTCTGGGTCCTGTACTCGCTTGCAGGATAAGTAGGGTGGCCTTAAAGTCTGGGTGGCTGTGAAGGGTGGTAAAGAGGAGTTGACTCTTCAGGCTATATCTTCCTGCAAGGTTGATTCCTTCAAGCTTATCATTCATACCTGAGATTATTAGAGAGCACCTTAAATTACATTGGCAGGATTCAATAAGAGACTATTTGGGTTATTAGCTTTACTAGTTTTCTGCACTGTACACTTAATTTAATCCCTGTGACACTGATTCTGTTGCCAGGATCTTGTTGCTCAGAACAGTGTGTGAAACCTGGGAAGGATTTTGGGAATGGTCTTTCTCTCAGCATTCCAGAGCTTAAGGGATGTCTCCTCCAGTTGTGTGTCAGAGAAGTACAGTGTCTATTCTTGTTTCAAAGTCCTAATTAGAAATGTGAAGGGAATGTACCAAAGTCACCAATAAGGAAGCACAATCACAATATCTGTAGAATTAAGGCATGAGGAATTTGCTGAAGTTTGATTGAGCACCCTAGTGAGGTACTTTTGTTCTTTACAGATGGCTGCTAAATAGAGCTAATAGCCAGTATTTTAGTTTGGTTTCTTGTACTACTGAATTTCATTTGAGCTTTGATACACTGTCTAGTTCTTGATTTATCATTAACAAGGATATGTGTGTTTTACGACCTCAGTGAAAACACTGTCTCAGGCAGTTTTGCAAGTTCAAGTTGCAGGCTGTCCTACTTGAAGCTGAAAGTATTTGCCAGTGAAAGTGTTTCATTTGCCAATGAAAGTGTTTCATTTGCCAGGAAAGTGTTTCATTTGCCAATGAAAGTGTTTCATTTGCCATGAAAGTGTTTCATTTGCCAATGAAAGTGTTTCATTTGCCATGAAAGTGTTTCATTTGCCAATGAAAGTGTTTCATTTGCCATGAAAGTGTTTCCATCCCTTCGAGCTGCAGCCGCTCCTGCCAGGCCAGGCTGGCTCTGGCACGTCCTGCACACGCTCTGGGGACGGGAGGCAAAGTGCCCCGAGGGTCCCTGTGTGCTTTGGCAGTGGTGGTCCAGGCCGTGCAGTGACTCCTCTTCAGGGTCTGGCAGTTCTGTCATTCTCCATGAGCTTCACAGCTGCCAGTAGAGAAGGTGGAACACCCTGCGCCCAAATTCCAGCGTGCCAGGGTTGCCTTCACGTATCTGCTTCACTGACCGGGCTTGCTGGTGCCTCTCCAGCCTCCTGGCCTGGCATTTACTGCTGCTTGTTTGATTGAGCCTCTCTACAGGTTTAACTAGAAGCACTTTGAAAACAGCTTTTATTAAAGTCAACTCCCAAATGAAACAGCTGAGAAGTGTTCCATGCTGTCTCATCTTTGGTCCCACTCAGGCCAAAGCCAGTCTTCACTGGCTTGTGTCAAAACCAAGTCATGTCTTTGTGAGCAAGCTGAGAGGATGAATAAGGCAAATTGGCAGGTTGCACAGAGTGAAATGATCAAAATATCTTTATGCTAGAAAAGTTTCACCCCTTTTAGGTTTGCTGCTCTCCTAAGGAAGTTTGTGCCCTTACTGCCAGAGCCTTAAGAGAGCCAATGCTGCCAGCTACAACAACAGTGTTTCTTATTGTGTTCATTTTAAAGGGCAACTGAGAAGTAATTTAGAAACAAATATAAATTATTTCAGCATGTAAAAGGCATCAGTACTATTCATCTATAAACTTAACAATTTAAAAATGTTTAAACATGTCTGGAGGAATCGTGTACACTGAAATAGCATCTATTCTTAGCTTTTCAAATCAGCAGTTAAGAGGTCCAATTTGCTGGTTCCTACTGCCTCACCCAACCACTGCCCATACATTAGCATTAGGTAACTGTTTCTTACATTAATATGGTAATGGCAATTTATCCTCTGCTGAAAAGAGGCCACACCAATTCAGGTCTGGGAAAGTAAACTGCCACAATGAAAAATGAACTTTCATCTTTTCCAGTTGTGATTTTTATAATAGGTAAAGGCTTTCATCCTGAATAACAACTCTATCCTAATAATGCTCATGGAAATAGGACTTCAGACTTCTTTGAAGGAAACTACTTAATTTGTGGACTGACCATTGGATTTAACTCATAAAGCCACATTGTGTGTGAAAATGTTGTGGCTGCATGTTTCTTCTCTGGGTGTTGTAGTGCTTGCTACTGCTCCTCAACAGCAGCTTTATATCACTGCTAGCTACCAAGCACAGAGAGAGAAAAAATATTCTTCTGAAGGCTTTGACAGTTGAGGGAAAGAGAGCAGAACTGCTATTAGAAAAGGTGTCTAATTGCCTTCTGGTAGAACCTAATCCTTTAGATTAATTAGATTAATTTTTTAATAACAGATGAACTAACTTATCGGTAATGAACTTCAGGGAAATTGCCAGTTGATTTAGAATGAGGGTTAAGATTTTATTTTTTGGGCTCTGAAATAGGGAAGAGAAATGAAGAATCTGAGGGTTTGTCTGTGTTTGGGGACACTGTGCTTTTAGATGTCATTCAGGTGATCTATGAATGATTTTTCATTTCTCATCTTGTTACCATCTATCTCATCATGTTACCAATTGTATATGTATGGGATATGCAAACACAGAAGCAATAAAATATTTTAAAATCAGTTTCTTTAAACTTCTAAACGGATTCTACTAGGGACTTAGGTTAAGGTGTTGGTTATTTTTGAAGTTACTTAATGTGAAACAGGACTGGAAAGGAATTTCTCAGCATCTGTTAAGGATCTTCCTCAACACATAAAAAATTAATTCTCAAGGTTTTCAAAGTCCTGTCTTCCCTTTCCTTGTATTTTCTTCCTTTGAAAGGAAGAAATTGTATTATTTTGTATACTTTCATTCTTGTACTGATAATTTTGATTGTTAATCTTTAATTAGATATTTTTTATTTTTTAATTTCTTCATTCAAAATCCAGCTTTCTCAAATTCCAGTGAAAGAAGCTAATTTTATTGTTTTTATTAGAAGATATCAGAGTAATTTATTTATAAAATAAGTAAACTCCATTTTATATATATTAGTGTTGCACTGTAATATTTTGAGTCTTGTTTCTCATGTGTGTCTTAGACTGATTTCTTCCTTCTAGAAATTTAGTAAAAATGTTAGTTGAATTGTTGATGAGAAGGGAGGATAAAAAGCAAAAGATTCCCTTTATTCAAGTTTTCAGTTGCTTCTAATTTCATCTGCAAATGTAGCACTGCTTAATGAGATTTAAATTACCATTTTTCATTGCTTTGCTTGTTATAGGTAAGCAATTAAAAATGGAAACTTTGCTTACCACAAGTGTCTGTACAACTTTTTATGTACTGCAGGTAACAATTTCATGGATATGTGACAAACACGAAGGTTTGAAGTTGCCTTCTAGAGGGGTGGAGGATACTGGGGTTTTGTTTTGGTTTTGTTGCAGAATATTTTGGGTTAGAATATTCTTCCATTCATGACAGTTTAATTAACAGCAAAAAAAACTTCAGTCACAAATGTGTTTTTCATTTGTAAAGCACTTACTCCTTATGTCCAGATCATTTCATATATATTTAGATTGTTTGGAAGGCTCTTACTCTCTCTTGGGAGAATGAAGAACTCTGTATATTAGAGAAAGAACTTGTTTTTTTTCTAATATATGTATGTTATTGTAATACTTACAATATACAGAAGGCTCTACTGTCTTGTTTCCTGATGTGATCAGAAAAACAATTTAAACAGCCAAAAAGCTGAGTGAATGAAAAGTTCCTAATAAAGAGGGCAAGTTTACTTGAACCATTTAATCTGATTTAGTCTCAGTTTATCTTGTTTGCTGTAACCACACATCTTTTATATGTTTATAGCTGCACAGTAATTCCCTTAGTTTACCTATTATACTTTGTGCTGTGTGTTGGGTAGGAGTTTCACGCTATGGTTTACAGATTAAATTCACTCCAAGTAATTTTTTATATGTGATTTGTATTTGGGGAGGGGTGATTTGTACTGATACGAGACCTACCACTGCAGCACCCGATGTTTCCCTCTGTTGGTGTGTCAGGCCTGACACATAATAAAAGCTTGTACCTAATCTAGGCTTCCTTCTCTGGGGGCTTTGCACCCTGACTGACCCACAGGACATCCTTAGACCACTTCATTTAAAAAAAGGGTGAAGAGCAGGTGCAGCGTGGTCATTGCTTCTCTATCTTATGAACAGTTTTTATTTAATCATGGGAGAAAAATTGAGGAGAGCTGTGTGCTGTGAGTCAGTGTTCAAGGGCAGTGGGGCATCCCACACTGGTGGGCTGTGGTTGCAGGGTGATGGGGAGGGGGAGAGAGTGGCTGCCTGGCACAGACTGGGCAGTCTCGGGGGTGGCCTGAGGTGGGGGTTTGGGGGATGCTCACTGCCTTGCCCTGGGCTTAGCCTGCAGCCAGGGTTCACAGCTGGGGAAGCAGCAAGCGGGGCACAGTGCCCTTTGTGCTGGTTCCTGACATAAATAGCCAAAACCAGCCCATTTGACCAGGCTGAAAATCCCTGAATGACAAAATCCCGACAGCCAGCAGAGAGTGCTGAGGCAGTGTGGCCGAGGATTTGTTCTGTTTTTCTGTTCTCCTTCCCTGCGGGCTGCTGAAGGGGCAGGGCAGGGCCAGGCTGTGATCTGGGCGCTGCTCACACATCCCTCCCAGCACAGAGCTGGGTGCTGCTCACACTGGGTGCTGCTCACACATCCCTCCCAGCACAGAGCTCTGGCCAGTCCCAGCAGCCCCGAGGGGACAGGGCAAAGGCAGAGCAGCTTCTTCCCAGCATTTGGCTGTGGAAACTGTATTGCAGTGTGCTGCCAGCATGTCCAACCTACAGCAGCCTTCACTTGTCGGAGCCCAGGACCTCAGCCTTCACTTGTCAGAGTCCCTCTGGCTGTCTCCAGACCCTGGCAGGGGGCTCAGAGACCTTGGCATGAAGTCAAAAACACCTGTGGCTTCAGTTTTAGCCTGTGGGAAAAGCTGTCAAATTTGTACAAGGAATTACAAGTCACAAGGGTTTGAGTAGTGTGATATTTGAACTAACACAGGGTGGAAAAGTAGAATTTTGGGATTTTTAGAATGGTCTTCAAGGGGGTACAAGATGGAGGGATTTGGGCTTGTCCTGGCCTTCTACTCCTTTGTCTTGTCCTCCGTGTCTTGGTGTGATGGTGACACTTTTCTATTGGTTTAAGGTAGGGATTCAGTCTGACATAGGTGATGGGAATTGGTGAAGAAATTGTAAACATCTACATGTAGTTTTGAGTACATAAGGTGGGAGCCACCCAGGGCTCGAGGGCAGATGGCCATGGCCTCCTTGCTAGCCAGAGCTCAGCAGGTCAGAGAAAGGATGTTATAGATAAGATAAAATAAACAACCTTGAAAGTGCAATCAGAGCCATCCCAGGCTCCTTCTTTGGCTGCTCAGGCTAAGGGAACAAGGACTTTCACACTGTTGGGGTCTCACCAGCTGACCCTGATGTTCACTCAGCCAAGACTGAATGAGAGAGGCTGCAAAGTATGAGCTGCTTCTCAGTGTGGTGTTGGGTCAGGCCCCAGGCCTCTTCAGAGGGGAAGTGAGAGTGATGAGTAGGATAGAGAGGGGAAGAAAAAAGCAGGATGTAGTTTAAGAAAAAAAAAAACATGTAAAGCTATTGCTGTGTGACACCAGTGAGAGGAAGGTCAGGGATTTGGTCACGTGGAGATTGATTTCCAAAGGCAGTGTGGGACAGACTCACTCCTCTCAGAATGCACATAGATGTATTGCTCCACGTGTTTTAAAAAAGAAACAGTTCTTCCCACCCAGGCTGCTCACCCACCTCTTCCTCTGTGCCCTCCTGACAGTGATGACACAGCAATCATGTTAGGTACCCTGCCAAACCTGCCCGCAGCTCGTTTGAAGCCCTGTGTGTTGTGTTCTCACATGACTGTAGATGTGACAGATATCATAGCTGGGGAACTTTTTAAAAGAAACCCAAAGCATTTGTAATCAAGCTAAGGAGGAGGGCACAGGCAGGTTTTCATCATGCCCCAAGTGCTCCTCAGAGGCTATGGTGACTCAGAGGAGGCATGTACCTTGCCTGATTTGGCACAGGTTGCTTGGCAAGGGCAGGGGCTTGAGCCTCATCCATCACACATGGGGACAGGAGGCTCACCAGGGCTGGCAAAAAGCCAAAACCACATGGTTTCTGATCTGGTGGGAATGGGCCTTCATGTGTTCATCCTCTGGTTTAGCCCTGCAGTGTATAAGGTAACTGCTAACATTAGCTGTCCTATTTATGGTGCAAGATTGATGTATTTGAAACCAGGGAAATGTTTTGTCCTTGAATCTGGATCTTTGAGTCTTCCTGAACGGTTAATTCATCACAGTGCTTGTCACCCAGATCTGAACTCGTGTGTGAGGGAACCTAGCTCGTGTCTGGGCAGTGATTCTAAAATCCTGTCCCAATTACTGTGTCCTCCTTCCCTGCTGGCATTACCAGCCTCTGGTGGGCATATTCAGCATATTCAGCAGCCTCCTGGGGTGATGCCAGCTGGTCTGCCCTGAGCCTGTCACGGGGAATTGTGCAGGAGCTTCTCTGCTGGGGAGGCCAAAGAGGGATTTTGTTGGGGAGTGCTGAGAATGGAGTGTGTGAGTTACTTTCTGTGAGCCCCAGATGCAGAGTGAGTCACTGAAGCTCAGTGAAAGTGCAACGTGCCCTCCCCTACATCACAACTCAAGCAAGTCAGCCTGGGCTTAATAGATTAATCCCTTAATGAATGTGGCCAGAAGAGGGCTTTGAGGCACTGAAAAAGAGTCTGGGGTGACTCTCAAATGAAAATCATAAGCCACAACATATTTGTCTTGGTGGTGGTTTGTTTTCTAACTCCTGCATAGTTTGTGTTTTGAAAACAAATGTCACAAATACCATTGAGGCTCTTTGACTTGAGGTTTGTGAGTGAAATCAGTGGCTGCAACATAGAAAACTAAGCAGTGTTTGTGGTCTGAGAGCAAGTCAGTCAGTGTTCTGAGGCAGTCAGTGTTCTCTGGGACAGCCATCCCTTAAACATTTTGTCCCCTGCCATTTTTACTCTCTGCTTTCCTGGTCAGTTCTGAAAATGGACAAGTGCTTTTCACCCTTTGTCCTTGTGCTTGGGCCCTCTGAAGGCACCTGTTGTTTTTTTTTGGTACAAGGCTGTCCCTTTTCTCCCTAAATCTCTGCTGAGGCTGTTTGCAGTGACCAGGAGCGTTCGTGTGACAAGGACAATTCCTCTGCTGTGGGGTGGCAGCTCACTCTGAAGAGCTCCAGGTGGGACATGCCTGTGGGAGTGCAGTGGGTGAGAGGCATGGCACAAGGAGGACCTGCAGTGAAAGCACCATGACAAATTACAGGGTTTTTCCCCTCTTGCCATCCTGCAGTCAGTTCTTTCCACTCCTTCCTACCCTTTGGTTTTCCCTGAGCTGTGTGAGTCAGGCTTTCCAGTCTTGCCTGCCCTCTTTTCTGAGTCAGCTTCTCTCAGGGCATTGCTGCTTGCTCTCAGCAAAGCACCTATTTCTGTCTCTAGCTGCTTCTTTCTTCTGATGGTTTCAAATCTTTATGTTCCACATTTGTATTTTATCCTGTGTAGTATTATTATTATTTGCTTTTGCTTTTGCTGTGCCTTGCGTTTGCCCTTGCTTTGATAAGTAAAATTAGAAAAAGAAAGTTACTTTACTGAAAAAAAAAGTCCTGTCTTAAAAATACAATAAAAAATATCCGGTGCTCCAATAACAAGCTGATATTATAATCACTTTTCATTGTTGTAAAATGTGTTCAATATATGTGTATCTTCCAATCCCAGAAGTTTCATATCTGCTGGCTGAAATGTAGATTCCCTATGTTAACACATTTCTTCCTGATGTCCTGTTGCCCGTGTTCTTGTGTGGAACAAACATTGCTACAAGTAGATATTTTCATTTGTGGCTGGAGTCATGACTTTTCATCCTGCCCTGCCACGCATCAGCCATGACATTTTTACTCTTCTTGTCTTTTCTTTTCTTGTCAGACTTGGATTCTCCTTTTCTTTGCAGCAGGTGCTCACCTCTTTGCACAGGTGAGTGGTGCCCAGGAGGGGGCTGACCTCCATCTCATGTTCAGCTGATAACAAATGTCCCCTGTGATTTTTGGAGTAAAAGCCTTCCTTCTTTGCAAAGAGAGATCTCTGTCCCTGCTGAAGGCTTTTAGAAGCCCCTCAGGTCCCCAAAGGCAGCAGGTTTTGCTGCACAGCTGCTGCAGAGACACCAGGGTGAGGGTCCCCACAACTGAGGGCACCACGGGCCTTCAGTGAGCAACAAATGCCACCCCCAGCTGGAACAAAGCGTCCTGATTTCTAAGAGAAGTATCAAGTCCATCAAGATTATCAGTTGAACATGTTCCAGTGATCTAATACAGCTGTGAGCAGGAAGATGGAGCCCACACACCATTTCCTGCCTGCAGGGGAAAGGTTTTGATCGCCTTTGGGATGGAGATGTTCTCTCCCACCTCCCTCCTGCAGCTTGCTGGGACAGGGCAGGGGTGGGAATAAAGTCTGAGGGTGTTCTGTTTGTTTTTAACGCCTGTGTTACAGTGCAGGAGGCACTGGGGGCACTGGGGAACCAGTGTTCCAATGTTGGTGACAGCTGCTGGAAATTTTATCAGTTTGCTGCTCTTGGGAAGGGGCAACACAAGGCCCTGGAAGTGAGAGGAGTTTGCCCTGAAAAGATCTGGGTGTCCTGTCCCTGCTCACCATGTTTGATATGCATGGTGAGTCCTGGCCCATGCC